CCGTCTTCCTCATGATCTGGAAGAAGGGTAGAGACTTCTCCGCTGATTTAGATAGAAAGCGGTTGAGGGCTGCCAGGCGGCCCGTCAACCGTTGAACTTCCTTCACATTGCGTGGGGGCTCCATGTTGATGATGGCCTGGATTTTCTCGGGATTGGCCTCAATACCCCTTCGGCTCACCATGTAACCCAAGAACTTGCCCCCTTGGACGCCGAAGGTGCACTTCTTCGGGTTTAGCCGAAGGTTGAATTTTTGCATGATGGCGAAGATTTCCCGGAGGTCGTCAGCATGACTGGAAGATTGTTTGCTCTTGACGATCATGTCGTCAACATAGGCCTCCATGGTGCGCCCTAGGACGGCTTGAAAGACCCGGGCCACCATCCGGGTGTAAGTGGCCCCCGAGTTCTTTAGGCCGAAGGCCATCACTAGGTAGCAGAAGATGCCCTCGGGAGTCATGAAGGCAGTTTTTTCGGCGTCCTCCTCGTGCATGAAAATTTGATGGTACCCTCGGAAGGCATCGAGGAAGGACATGATCTCACACCTTGCGGTCTCATCCACCAATTGATCAATGTTTGGTAGAGGGAATGGATCCATAGGGCACGCTTTGTTGAGATCGGTGTAGTCCACGCACATGCGGAAGGTAGGGGGCTTCTGTGCGAGGACTACATTTGCTAGCCATGAGGGGTATTTCACCTCCTTGATGTGCTTGATTGAGAGGAGCATGGCGACCTCCTTCTTCACGAATTCCCTCCTCTCGGCGGAGAGGGGTCTCCTTTGTTGTTGTACTGCTTTTGCCGAGGGGTCCATCGAGAGGCGGTGGGTGATGACCCTTCGGCTGATTCCCGGCATGTCCTCCGGCCCCCATGCAAAGACAGTGGAGTAGGCGTGGAGGGCGTCGGTGATACCGGTTTTCAAATCTTCAGGGAGTTGGGCTCCAATCTTCACGACTCTCTCCGGCTGGGCCGGATCGAGCGCGAAGTCTTCTACGTCCTCGGCCTTCTTTCCTCTTGGTCGATGGCTCCGGTGATGGTGTCAACACGGAATTCCGTCTTACTTACCTTCTTAGTGACCTGAAGATAGCAGGCGCGGGCAATTTTCTGGTTCCCCCGGGAGTAGCCAATGCCCCCCTCGGCGGGAAACTTGAGGCAGAGGTGCCTCATGGAGATGATGGCTTCGAGGTCCTCGAGGGCTGGCCGGCCGAGGATGATGTTGTGGGCGCAGTCAATGTTGACGACGACGAACTCCACTTCGAGCTGGGCTCTATGGAGCCCGTCGCCGAAGATCACCGGGAGGGTTATTACCCCCTCGGAATCAATAGTATCGCCGGTGAAGCCGGCAAGAGGGGTCTTAATGGGCCGAAGGGATCCCCTCTCCAGATGCAGCTCTCTGAAGGTGCTGAGGTACATTACATTGACGGAGCTGCCCGTGTCAATGTAAGTTCGGTGAATGATGGTATCGTTTATCTCCGTCCGAATCACCAAGGCATCCCTGTGAGGAGAAGAAGTAGGAGGGAGATCTGCGTTGGTGAAGGTGATGGGTTCCTCCCTCAGTCGCTTGACCGGGGGCATATGAGTGACTTCTCCTACGTAAAGTGATTGAGCCCAGTTCTTTCGCTGGCTGGTGGAATCGCCCCCTATATTGCCACCGGTGATCATGAGGATGTGGCGTTTCTTCTCCTGGTAGTGGAGGTACTCCTCCTCCTCTTCTTCCAAGATTCCGATCTCCCTCTTCTTGCCGAGGGGGATGGTATTCGGGTTTATCCAAGCATTTACCTTCGTGTGGTGCCCTCGGGGAGGCCCCTGATGAGAAGGTCCCTCCTGCCGAGGGCTCTGAACAAATTGGGACAGGTGCCCTGCTTGTATTAACCTCTCGATGGCCGTCTTTAGCTGATGGCAGTCATCGGTCCTGTGCCCCTGGTGCCGATGGAAGCGACAATAGGGGAACTGAGGGTTGATAGCGTGTACCTCCGGGGGTGCGCGAGAATCACGCTCAACGAGGCCCCTCTCCTCGGCAAAATTGAGGATGATGCTGACGGGGTGCGTCAATGGTGTCCGAGGGCGGTCCAGGAGAATGGGTTGTGCCCAAGTCTTGGGGTTGCTCTTATATCCTCCCCCGGGCTTGGCTTGGCCTTGCCGAGGGCGGTCATCAGAGGGTCCCGAAGCCTTGGGGTGATTTGGAGGAGCCCCCGGCCCTCGGTTATGCTTGTTGTCAGCCCTCGGGGGCTGCTGGTCCGGATGCTGGTGATACTTCTCCACCTCCTCGGCCTCAGCATATCGGTCCCCCCGCTGCAAAGCCCTTATGTAGTCGCGGGGGGGTTCAATGATGAGGCTCCTTGAAAAGTTGCTGGTGCGGAGGACGGTTTGTAAGAGGGCCAGGAGGGTCCCGTCATCAACACCGTCGACCTTGTCGGCCTCCGTCCTCTAGCGCTCCAGGAAATCCCGAAGGGTCTCATCCTTCTTCTGGCGTATTGTTAGGAGGTGGGAGAAGTGCTTCCTTGTGCGACGCCTCCCGGCGAATTGTGTCAAGAATCGCTGGGCGAGTTCTTGCCACGAATCAATGCAGCCCTCGGGCAGCCTGTTGAACCATTCGTATGCCGGCCCCTCTAAGGTGGAGAGGAACCATCGACACAAATATTCGTCTGACGCCCCCACCATCATCATGATGTTCTGGTATTTGCTGTAGTGTTCCTGGGGGTCCGTTTTCCCGTTGTATGGCTGTATGTGTTGCCCTCGGTATTTCTCCGGGATCCGGGCCGCCAATACCCTTGGGGTAAATGGCGTCCGAGTCCGGAGCTGGATGACGGGTTCTCCGGAGCCCTCGGCCACCTTCTTCTGTAATTCCTCCATTTTGGCCATCATGGCCTCGTATTTCAGGTCTGAATGAGGGGTGGAGGTGGTGGCGTGAGCTTTATTGGACTCCATCTCGTCAAGCCGGCGTTGGAGGGCCGCAATAATTTCGTCCCGGGGATCCTTCGAGAGGGCCTCCGCCCCCTGCGAACGAACCCGGGCCGAGTGGGCCTGGTTGATCTGGTGGCGAGCGTCATCGGCATGAAGGGGTGCCTTGCCTTTGTCCCGAGGGGGACGCTCCTCGTCTGCCCTCGAAACAGATCCCCCGCTTTCCTAGGGCCTTTGGAGTGCTCTCCCCCCGAGGCGGTCTTGGACCCCTCGGCGGTCTGGCCCTCCTCCGAGCCGGTTGAGGGCGGAAGTACGGGGCCTTTCCCTGTTGTCATTATGGCGGTCCCGGGACTGAACTTCCTGGGAGGACGTATCTTGGGCCACCACCCCTTCGTCGTTCCTCACCCGAGGGGTGAGATTTCCGAAGGGGTGTGGCAGAGGGGGAAGTATGATATTTTCCCCGATCTGAGGGTGAGCTGGAGCCAGGGTGCCGAAGGCACCCGGGTTCTGGGTGAGCATTTGGATGAAGGCGGAGAGCGCCGATTGTACGTCGATGGTGAGAACCGGAGGGCTGACTTGGTCATTGCTCCGGTTTTTCTTCTTGGCCTCGATGCCGAGGTGGGCATCGGGGGCATTTTGTTGGATCTGAAGGCGTAGGTCGACAGCCGCCTGTTCCAGCCCAGCGATGACACCGCCCTCGGGAGCCCTTTGAGAGGCTTCGGAGGCGTTGACGTCGCCGAGGGCCAGGTTCTTGTCTTCTACGTTATTTGAGTTGGCACGTGTTGTCCTCACCATTTTGATAGAGGGCTAGTGTTTTGTGTTTGGTCGAGGGGGAGGGTTTCTTACTTGATTGTTCGACCTCTCAACGAGAGCACCAAATGATGGATAGTCTACCCGGGGGTATATATCCGAAGGGTTATTACGGGGAATAACTTAGAGAGAAGTCAGAGTAAGTAAGTAAATGTAGAGAGAGAGTATATTTAGTATGAATGCCGTTTTCAGCGTGGTTACAAATGGGGAAATGGGGTGCTATTTATAGTAGCAATAAATGCCGGACAGGGACACGTGTCAAGCGCTCATTGGCCGAGGGGTCACCTCAACTGGTTGGCGCTGGCAGCCGCATGTGGCCGCATTTAATGCGGCTGTTGGATGGGACGTCTGTGCAGGGTACGGTGATCTGTACGCATGTGAGGCGGATATCTTGTCGAGTGAGATGCCTTCGGCCATAGAGTAGTAGCCGAGGGCTCCTCCAACCGATGGCACTCTGGTGCCGAGGGCTCACAGTGCCGAGGGCTACTGTTTTCGCCGTTTTCTCCCAGTTTCTTAATTTGCCTGAGAAACCCGCTCTGTGAGAATTTAGAGCCTTCGGCCAGGGGGGCGAAGGCACCCCTGGCGCGTAGTGCGGGCTGCTTGGCACTCTGGGCGCTGTGATTTGGGCCTGCTGGGCCTTCTGGGCCTGTTGGGCCTTCGCTGGAGTAGTAGGAGTCTGTGGGCCGGGGGTTCCCGGGCCATATACTCCATCAGTCTACATTACTGATATTCGTTGTCCTTACACTCGAAGAATGATTAAATGGCAAATGCAATACTGTAGAAGTAAATACAAATACTACATAATCAATATCATAAAATATTTATGGGCTAATATAAATAGTAAAAAGTAAGAATTACCATTCGTTCTATCAACGAAAACATCTGATGATCCACTGTGACGGTGCAAGGAACGTTTGTGAACATTACAGTCAAATTTTCTGTCCACAAAGTCAATTAAATATAAACATGTCCTCGATTACATGACTCCAATACACTAAACTATTTCTATTACATGATTCCAATACAATAAACTATTTCTATTACATGATTCCAATACAATAGACTATTTGTATGCCCTCAATTACTATTATTATTTTTAGGGACTCATTTTATGTTTGGAGTAACAATTTTGAATCTTATTTAAACAATATAAGCAAAACTTTTATTCACAAATCTTACTTTGGTAAGGGTCATTATCATATGAATTTTATGATTTTATGTTACCATAACCAATATACATCATACAAATTATATTTTTAATCATTAAACAATAACTTGAGGCAATTATGAATCCAGTACAATAAACTATTTCTATTACCTTATTCCAATACAATACACTATTTTCGGAAACGTGACTCACTTGCTTTTATCAGTATTACCAACTTTAGCAACTCGTTTTCTATTAGGAGTAATAATTTTGAATCTTATTTAAAAATATAACTTATCCTTTTATTCACAAATCTTACTCTTATGAGGGTGATTATCATATGAATTTTATAATTTTATTATTATCATTACCATGATACATAATACAAATTATTTTGTTTAATCATTATAAATAGTTAACCCTTCTAAATACTTATTTCCAACCTATTTGAACCTATGTATGAAATTTAATAAGATAGATGAGACATTACTTAGCTTAGAAAGCAATCTACCATAATTTTGGTCCATTTGAGCCAAACTTAGAAAATAATCTACCATAAATTTGCCCCAGGCCAACTAATTCGCCCAACCCATATGTAACAAACCCAATATTCCCCCAGCCCAACTAATTCGCCCAGTCCATATGTAATTCACCATAATCCGCCCAGCCCATATGTAATAAACCCAATATTCCCCAGCTCAAACCCTACATGTATATAAGCCTCTAAATCCGCCCAAACACTTCTATTATCCTTCGGTTCAACGACCGTCTCTTCATCTCTCTTCTTCTCTGTTCGTCTCTCTTCTGCTATCGATCTTTCTCTATGTTTCTTTAACATGTGAACGAGCATGTATCTTTTACTGGTGTTCACTGACTTGTAGCTCTCTTCTAAACTCTGCTCGTTAACATATGAACGAACTGAAGGATTTGAGCCCTGCTTTTAGCCTTGTTCGTTACATCCGATGATCGATGTGTTCTTACACATGTCTAGGTCTTCACATTTGGAGGATGATATAGATTGGTTCATCCTTGTGATCCTCATAAAAATAAGTAAACTGCTTGGAGTAATTGTTCCACAATGTGCATCCAATATGATTTCCACTTCAATTTAAAAAAGGTTTCGTTATTAGTGAATAAGAAAAGAACCGTTTTATTCGACATTCATAGCTAATTCTGAAGATTAGGACAGTATTCTCGATCTTCCAAAGTTAGTTCAATCAGCCTCTCAGGTTTCCCGTTAACAGTAGGCGTTTGAACTGGAGTCTTCCCCACATATTTTCCAATCACATCTGAAAAACTTTGAATTATTGACGCAGTTGTAGGAAAAAGCATTCTTAATAATTTGTATTTAAATTTACCGATAAGAAATTTGTCGTTTTCCACCCCTAGACTCTGGAGTGCATCAAATTGGTGAAAATTGAACACGAAATCAGGGAAAGTTTCTTCATGCAGGTCATACATCGTTGTTTTCTTGAAAAACTCCAGAACATGAGGGTGTTTTGTTGTTTTGTAGTTGTAATAGTTATCAAGAACTAAAAAGTTCTTGATTCTAAAACACTTGTTTTCCAGCAGTTTCTTTCGATACAGATGCATGAACGGCCGTTTTACTACAGCATGAATACGGTCACCCTGCAATGATAGATGAATTAGTGTTGTAAAAATTGAACCCTCGTTAAAAAAAGACTCAGGACTGGAAAGAATATAATGATATATCCATTCATATAAGAAATTACATCCTCATCGTGGAAAACCACTTCCATTCGTGCTACTCCTTTGGATTGAGGGGAAACTTCATAAGCTCTAACCACTCTTACTCTGAGAGCCCATGTGCACCTTGCGTGGTTAACTTCCTTAATCATAGAATACAAATTACTGTTGTTTGAGTCAGGGATTTCTTTGGTTGTTGCCATGGTGGGGTTTGTAAGTGTGAACTGAGACATGAGAATCGGACATATTTATAGTGAATTCGAAATATTAGGTTTTGCAAAGAAACTGAAATTACCACTGTGTAATAAGCCTCAGCCCTCCCAACAACCGCATTAAATGCCACCGAACTCAATAAATGCTCCTGCAATGGAATTGACCACGGTTGTCACGTCGAAATATAAAGCAAAAAGTACATGCGTCATTCCTAAGCCCACACCAACAAATTGCCCACATTTGACCCGGATCCGACCCGGTAGTTTAGACGGGAAAAGTGGCAGCAAATCCACTTCGTTTTGTATATAAGAAGATTGATCGATCTCGTCAAACAGTATTGTGGGCCAAGATGTATGGGCCTTGGATGAAAAGAATTATTTTGTTACACAAATGAATGAGTGATAAAATAGGTATTTTGCGCCACAAAACATTTCATCATCGAAACCTATTTTTCTTGATCTGGATTTGGTGTGGTCATGATGATGTAAGTTACTAGTAATTGTGTAGTCGTGTTATGATAGTGATGATGCAACGGTGTGATCATCACTACAACAAAATAGGTCTTTTGTGTCGACATTTTGTCGACGCAAAACGTAGCAAATCGACGCAAATAACTTATTCGCGTCCACTTGTCGACACAAATATTCGGACGCAAATAGTTCTTTTGTGTCGATCGCGTGCGACGCTAATGACAAAAACTTATTTGCGTCGACATGTGAACGGAAAAAGACATTACGGGTATAATCAGCTACATATCGACGCAAAAGACTATAATATTAATTGTGTTGATGCGTTGATGCAAATAATGAGATCAATTGCGTCAAGATGCTGACGCTCGGCCGAAGACCCATGTTTGGGCCATGTCCTTCTTGGTCCGAGCCGCACTTGGATGCAGAGGTTCGGACGAAGACCCCCGTTCGGGCCCTGCTATGTTGGGAAGGTTATTTCCTGTTGTGGTCCGTCACAGCCCGGTCAAGCACTTTGGGGATTCCCATTCTAGGCTCGGGGTCCTGCCGGAGACAGTAACCAGCAGCATCTTGGGGTCCCTCCGGGTGTTGTTCAAGGAATCCTCGCTCGGGAAGCAAGAGTTTACTTTCTGGATAACCATGAACCTGTCAAATCACCCACTTGAGTTGTCAGGCTCCGGCACTCAACTCTATCCACATGTGAGAGATGGCGACAAATGGAGCGGTGGGCTCCTGCTTCATCATTTTCTTCAAACAGCATTAGCTTCAAACATCAGTGATTTAGCCTCCCGCTTCGGCATTAGCAATCACTTTAGGATATGAGGTAGGGATTTGAACTAAGGCCAAACTGTTGGAGTCCTTGGATTGGGTCTGGAGATCCTCTGGCGGGTTGGGAACGGCCGAGAGAATCCCGTTCGGTCTCAGTCTCCGGATGATAAGGTGTGGAGCCCTCCGGTCACATCTCCTTTATGCCACTTGCCTTCTCTCGTGGTGCCTGAATAGAGATTATCCTCCAAGTTGCTAGGTGGGCGGGCTCCACCCCCACATGGCCACGTGGGTATCCTCCTGCTCTCTCCTGCGGTTCAAAGCCTGGAAACATTGCTGCGGTTCAGTAGCTTTTGGTATCAAAACATTTGTAGAATCTAAGAACACATAATCTTTTTGAACAGATTCCCATAGGTCGCGCCTTGAGTTTAAGTCCAACATAAACTATAGATATAGATATAAATTGGTATAACATCGATTTTTACGTGGAAACCCGGACAGGGAGAAAACCACGGGACTTTTTAGGCTAACGTCCAAGCCAGTTCTTTCTCATTAATCATCTCCTCACCATTTACATAGCACAAGTTTTGGAGCTCCCATCAATGGAGCTTGATCCTATCTAAAGAGGAAGAAGAAGCAGGGAGAAGAGCTCTCGGGAGACAAGAGCTAAAAAGATCAGATCCTGGAGAAGGTCTTTCCTTCTCCTATTTATAGAAGGGGAGGGTCCTAAATGGGCCAATGGGCCTAGATGGACCTATGGGCCTAAATGGGCCTAATATAGGCCGGTTGGGCCGAAGAATGGGCCGTGTAGGCCTAAATGGGCCTCGCCGACTAGGCTCTGCACCGGGTGGTGCCTTGGGCTTCTGAACAATAACATGTCGGGATAATATTCCCCAACACTATACATTACCAGATCAGACAGATCACTTCAGAACAGATCAGATCAGCCCAGACTAGATCAGACGAGCAAATATTTAAAAGTGGCATAAACTGTTTTTTGTCATTGCTAAAGTATAAAAGTGTTTCCTAAATATACTCTAATAAATTCTTAAGTATTGGTGTGTTTTTTCGATTTTCTATTTTTTCAATCGTTTTAAAAATATTTAACTCACTGAAAAGCACATACAATTCAAAAAGCAAATTCCATATACAATATTATTTTCCATACACAATAAGAATAAATAATAAAAATTAAAAATAACTTATTAACCATGACATGTCTACACCATATATGACAATGAAATTAAGATGAAGAAACATTGTTTTCTAAATGAGACACTTGTCCAAAGTCATAACAATAAATGTTGGAAATAAGTGAAGGAAGATTTGGGAAATTGGGAGGCTAAATTAGAAATATTATGGAAGAGATATTTGAACAAAGGGGAAGAACTCTTTTTATTAGAACAACTCAATTTGCTTGATTTTCTTAATACAAAGTGGGGGTAGGAGACCTCTATCTATACTAGCACAAAGATATCTAGAATCTTCTACAATTAATACATTCTACACAATTCTACTCAATTAATTATAGGAAAATTCTAGACCACATCTTCTAGAGAAACTCTAGAATTTATTTCCTCTACATTTTTCTATCACTTGGGCCTTCCCAACAACAACTAAAACTAAATATTAATTAGGCCCAAAAACAAGTTTTATTTTCAACACCCCCCCTTAAAATTGTTTAAACTCCGAGCATGGTCCTCAACCTTCGAAAATCTTCGTGCTTGAGCGGCTTCGTGAAAATGTCGGCGATTTGATCATGAGACCTTACATACCTTACTTCAACCTCTTTTCTTTCAATGCATTCTCAAATGTAGTGATAGCGAGTATCAATGTGCTTGCTACGATCATAGAATACCGGATTCTTTCCCAATGCTATTGCCGACTTATTATCCACATATATCTCCGTAGCTTCCTTTTGTGGCATGTCTATTTCCTTGAATAGATTTCGAAGCCATATAGCATGACAAACACATGAATTGGCGGCAACATATTCAGCTTCACATGTGGAGAGGGTCACAATGGGTTGCTTCTTTGAACTCCAAGTAAAAGCCGTATTACCCAAAAGAAAGACTAATCCGGTGGTACTCTTGCGATCATCAACGTCTCCGGTCCAATCACTATCACTATACCCAACAAGCTTGAAATCTTTACAAGAATTGTAAAACAAGCCAAAGTTAAGAGTACCTTTGATGGAGCGAAGAATTCTCTTGGCGGCCTTCCAATGAGAGGTTCTTGGATCTTCCATATACCGGCTAATGAGACCAACTCCGTACAAAATGTCGGGCCTTGTACAAGTCAAGTATCGTAAGCTCTCAACTAAGCTCTTGAACATTGTGGGCTCCACTTTTTCTTCATCACCAAACTTAGATAATTTTACACCACAATCCACCGGGGTATTGATTGGATTACAATCATCCATTTTAAACTTTTCAAGGATTTTCTTTGCATATCCTTCTTGACCGATAAAAATTCTACTTTCCCTTTGTTTCACCTCAATTCCCAAATAATAAGACATTAAGCTCATATCGGTCATTTCAAATTCTTGACTCATTGCCTTTTTGAAATTCTCAAATAAATTGGGATTATTTCCCGTGAATATTAGATCATCAACATAAAGGCAAACAATCAAGATATCTCCATTTCCCTCCTTTTTGACATAAAGAGCATTTTCATGGGGACATTTTATGAAATTATTTGCTTGGAAATACTTATCAATTCTAGTATTCCAAGCTCTTGGGGCTTGCTTCAAACCATAAAGTGCCTTTTTCAACTTTAGAACTTTATCTTCATGCCCTTTTATTTTATATCCTGGTGGTTGTTCTCAATAAACTTCTTCTTCTAACTTTCCATTTAAAAATGCGGACTTAACATTCATTTGAAAAAAATTCCATTTATTTTGAGCCGCCAAAGAAATTAAAAATCTTATTGTTTCCAAGCGGGCAACGGGAGCAAATACCTCTTCATAGTCGATACCGACTCTTTGGTTGTACCCTTTTGCAACCAACCTTGCTTTGTACCTTTCAATTTCCCCCATGGCATTCTTCTTTTCTTTAAACACCCATTTTGCACCAATTGCTTTGTGTCCTTTGGGTAAAGTGGCCAATTCCCACGTATCATTTTTTATGATGGCCTTCATTTCTTCATCCATGGCTTCCCTCCAATTCTTGTCGTTAATCGCTTCTTCAAAACCTATTGGTTCACAATCGGCAAGAAGACAAAATAATGTTAGATCATTTATATTTTCGGTTACCTCATATAGCTCTTGTATGCTCCTTAAGCGAGGCGGCCTTTCATTTGAGTTGTCTTCACTTGTGGATCCTTCTTGCTCGGGTGATGGTGGAGTTGGACTCGTGGGCTCTTCATTGGCTAGCTCTTGCTCATCTTCTTCTTCATTGTAGTAAGGCAAGAAATTGTAGTCTTCTTCCTTTTGAGTCCAATCCTAAGTGTTCTCTTCATCAAACTCAACATCGTGGCTAACCACAATTTTTCCATTGCTTGGATTGTATAACTTGTACCCCTTTGCTCTTGCATCGTATCCAATAAAGATAAACTTCTCACTTTTGTCATCCAATTCGCTTCTTTTTTGATCCGGCACATGAGCGTAAGCAATACTCCCAAAAACTTTCAAGTGGGAAATTCGGGGCTTTCTTCCACTCCATGCTTCTTCGGGGGTTTTGTTCCAAACACTTCTAGAAGGAGATCGGTTTGACAAATAAACCGCACAATCCACGGCTTCGGCCCAAATTTCCCTTGAAACATTTTTTCTTTTAAGCATGCTTCGAACCATATTAAGAAGGGATCGATTTTTCCTTTCAACAACTCCATTTTATTGTGGAGTATATGGAGCCGTTAAGGGGCGATGAATACCATTTTCTTCACAAAAATTTTCAAAGTCTTTTGAAGTGAATTCCCCCCCACGATCGGATCTCATGGATTTTATTTTAAACCCGCTTTCATTTTCAACATGAGCTTTAAGTTTCTTGAAGGCCCCAAAAACGTCGGATTTATGTTTTAGAAAATAAACCCAAGTTTTCCGACTAAAATCATCAATGAAAAGAGCAAAATAATTACTATTTCCGAGAGAGCTTGGTTTAATTGGCCCACATATATCCGTGTGTACAAGCTCTAATGGTTGTTTTGCTCTTGTAGATGCTTGCTTTGGAAAACTTTTTATTGGTTGCTTTCCAAATAAACATCCTTCACACAATTGATTAGCTTCATTGATTTTGGGCAAACCTTTCACCATACCTTTATCAATCAACAATTTTAAACCTCCAAAATTAAGATGCCCAAACCTCAAGTGCCAAATCCAAGATGAATTTTTAAAACATGCTTTCAAACATTTTGTACCCCCATTATCAATGTTTAATGAAAACATTCTATTTCTTGACATTGGTACTTTAGCAACCAAACCCCCATTTTTATCTCTCATCAAAAGGGTGTGATCTTTCATATGAATGTCATATCCCTTTTCTAAAAGTTGCCCCAAACTTAAAATGTTTGATTTCATGTTGGGCACATAGTAGACGTTAGAGATGAAATCATTTTTTCCATTTTTTAACCGGATTAAAATTTTCCCCTTTCCTTTTACCGGGATTTTTGATTCATCTCCAAAGTAGATATTTCCGCTTACCGATTCATCAAGCTCGACAAACATATCTTTCTTCCCGCACATGTGGTTGCTTGCTCCCGTATCTAAGTACCATGTCATTTTGGTGTCACTTTCTCCTCCTTTATGGGCCATCAACAATGTTGAATTTTCTTCTTCTTCTTTGGCAAGATTTGTTCGCTCCTCAACTTTAATTTTTGCCAATCTACAATCGGAGGCAAAGTGACCAAATTTTTGACAATTATAACATTGAACTTGATACTTATCATACCTTAGTCTTGAAAAACCTCCTCTTCCACGGCCTCTTGATTGATAGAAATGTGGACTTCTCTCTTCTTTGTTGAAAGTTTTATAACCTTCTCTTCCATAGTCTTGGCTTCGACCGCGCCCTCTTGAACTTTGACTTCTTCCCTCTTGAAAAATCTCTTTATTTTTTAAGGTGAGCTTGGTTTGAAGGGCTTGCTCCAATGGCTCTTGCTTTATTCTCTTCTTGAGTTTTTCTTCATGAGCTTGAAGAGATCCCAAGAGATTATCAACCGTCATTGTTTCTAGATCTTTAGATTCTTATATTGCCACAACTATGTAATCGAATTTTGAATCTAAAGACCGTAGAATTTTTTCAACCACACGATTGTCTTTGATTTCTTCTCCATATCTTCTTAGTTGATTCACGACGGTTTGAACTCTTGAGAAATAGTCGTCAATAGATTCCGAAGAGTTCATGTTTAAAGATTCAAACTCACCTCGAAGACTTTGAAGTTTTACTTTCTTCACCTTATCTACTCCTTTGAATGAATTCTCTAATATCTCCCAAGCTTCTTTGCTTGTAGTTGCACATGCCACCTTTGCAAACATGACTTCATCCAAAGCTTGATGAATGATAGAGAGCGCCTTTTGATCTTTCTTCTTAGTACTCCTCAAGGCATTCTTTTGATTTTGATTTAAGGCGTTGATGTCTTCGGGTTCCTCGAAGCCTTCCTCTACCATGTCCCACACATCTTCCGAACCAAGTATTGCCTTCATATGAATGCTCCAATTATCATAATTCTCCTTTTTTAATGGAGGAACTTGAAGAGAACCGGCCATTTTAGGGTGATGACCGAACGGCTCTGATACCACTGTTGGAAATAAGTGAAGGAAGATTTGGGAAATTAGGAGGCTAAATTAGAAATATTATGGAAGAGATATTTGAACAAAGGGGAAGAACTCTTTTTATTAGAACAACTCAATTTGCTTGATTTTCTTAATACAAAGTGGGGGTAGGAGACCTCTATTTATACTAGCACAAAGATATCTAGAATCTTCTACAATTAATACATTCTACACAATTCTACTCAATTAATTATAGGAAAATTCTAGACCACATCTTCTAGAGAAACTCTAGAATTTATTCCTTCTACATTTTTCCATCACTTGGACCT